GCTACCCAGAATTTAACCTCCATCCCGACGCCGCTCCCAGGGCTTTCCCCCAGTCTCGGAGTGACTTGTCCCTGTTAGCCCCCCCAGGTTAGTCCAGTGTCTTGACCATCGCCTGTTGCCCTCCGCCCACCTTTGCCCATCCTCGACCCCTCCCCCCCCGGACCCAAGGCACAAAAGTGTGAGGAAGATCAACCCCCTCTCGCCATAAAAACGAGCCCATCACCCCCTTCTGCCTGACCACCCTCTTGTCCCCCTTCTCTTGCCTTTTCATTCCTCTCTCGCGGTGCTCCTACGATAGATCCACCTATCCGCCGACTGAGCCTCCTGACACCGCTGTCCTAGCGAACATTCGATACCCCTTCAACGCTACGAAGTACATCACGGTACAGAACCCGCTACTTGGTAAGGTAAGTCGTGTCAGCGCCCATGCCACTCACTCCCCGCCTTTCCTACAATTGCACTCCGCCTCCGCCTACGACAAGATGAAACCACGAGCGCCACGGACGACGTGCGAAGAGCCGAATGAACGAAAACGACCCGGCAATTGGGGATGTTAGTTCGATGCCAGGGAACCGACCCGACCCGCGGCTGGCGGCAATGGGTGTGGGAGCAGGCGCCATCATTCGTTGGGCTTCACCGAAGAATCGACAGGAGAAAGGGACGACGTTGATCGACGGCCTGTCCTCCTTCCGCACACCAGCGGGACTGGCGAAAGCGATTGTGCAGCACCAGCACGAGTATGCAAGCTATGCGCTGTTCTTTGGTGGAAGCGCGACGATATGAGCGAGAGCGCACAGGTTCATGGTCGCCCGGCCCCCCTGGTCGCGGTGATGTCAGCCTGCCGCGACTCAGATAAGGAGCCGCGTTCGCCAGGGCTCCCATTTCGCCAGCCAACTCGACCACGTCGGTGTGGAGGCGTTGATGCTGCTTGCTGGCTGGGCGGGCGACGATGGCCTGTTCGCCTATCAATGCTGCATCTGCTTGTCATTCCGCGTGCAGCCATTGGCGCTGCTCCCACCCTCGCTCCACTTGGCGCTACGCATGGCTGCTAGACACTATAGCACCCACGCACTACAGTACAACACTATGCCGCGCGCCGCACCGCACTTGCATGCTACGCTTTCGTTATCGCCGTGAATCTGCTCCCGACGAGACAAGATTTGAGACGAAATGTGAGCTGCGGGCATCAGGCATTGATCATGCGTTGCCGAGCAAGCACTCGTGGTGATGCGGGCATGAAAACAATCCGGTCGCTTGCCAATGCAGCGTGCTTGTCGCACACATGCCCCATGCAAGACGCCAGCTTCTTAAGACTTTCTCCATGGCAATCTTCTCGTTCTTGACCCGCCTGCCGGAACGTCAGCCACTTCAAACTCAAATGAGGAAAGGGACGGCCGTGTCTCTCTCTCATCACATAGTCTGAAATGGATTGCCCCGTCCGTTTCCGGCCCGTAACGTACCCCGCCGCCGACAAACGAAAAGCCAACACTTCGCACCGCCTCGCCTGGATCTCATCTTGTCTTCACTTGTCCTCATACACAATTTCACACATTGCATTGCACTTTACCCACGAGACCTCCTACTGACCGCGGCATTTTATTCTTCCTTCTAGATCCGCCGCACGTGCAGCTCGCTCTGCTCCTCTCGACGATCCCATACCTCCTACGCTCTCTCATTCCGAATCCCACTCCCATAACGAGCCGACGGTTGTCGCCTAGCATGGGCCTGCCTGAGGATTTCAACGACCAACAAACTTCTTTCGACGCTGAAAAAGAGCAATACACTCCCTATGAGTACCAGGAGGAGGGCAACACCTCCTGGGCAGGTGCTCTGCCGGTGAAGCAGTATGTCGCGTCTGCCGTCCCCGCCACTCGGCGCCGTCGCTAACCCTGGTTCAACAGAGGTCTGTATGACCCAGACCTTGAGAAAGATGCTTGCGGTGTGGGCTTTGCTTGGTACGTGCCCTGTTTTTGCATCCCGCTGTGCCTGAATCTTCACTAACGGCTCTCCAGCCACATCAAGGGCAAGCCTAGCCACAAGATTGTCAGCGATGCGCGCAACCTGCTCTGCAACATGACCCACAGAGGTGCTGTGGGTTCTGATGTGCGAGACGGTGATGGCGCTGGCGTCATGACGTCCATCCCTCACAAGTTCTTCATCAAGAACTTTGAGCGCGAGGAGAACATTAAGCTGCCTCTCTGGGCCAGTACGCCGTGGGAAACCTGTTCTTTAAGCCCGACGAGGAGACTCTCAGGAGAAT